GGTACCTACTCTATTAATGGACAAGTCAATACAGTATATCTATACTCTGACCTTCTCTTTCTAACCGTAATGAAGTCTTTGTTATATGTAATTAATATTATATAAGCTATACATAATTAAAGAACTGGAGAAAATTTACGTACATGTTATCCAAAACGGCGAAAAGTAGCGTGAATAAATTTGGTATCGACTTCCACAACTATGATAAGTGTGTGTGTGTGTGTAGGGGGAGGGGGAGCGAGGAACAGAGAGATACTAACCAAGTTATTTTATTTTGGGATAAACATATATTTTTTTTTTTTTTGAACAATTCGGCTGTGCGCAAGGCTCTATTAAAAAAATATACTTATTTCTGGATTGGACGCTACCTTCTAAAAATTAAAGAAAGCGTATAACACAAATATTACATTAAAACATTACATAATAATGTATACTGGATAACCAGCCCTCCAGTCAACTGGATACTAGATTTTGTTTTGGAAAGTTGGAGACCGCCTCGTTTTTGTAGTTTTGCATAAAGTCTCTTAAGGGGCCCACCGTATTTAAAGCAATGAAACATAAATACAGCTAGCATAGTTTGCTATTTTAAGAGCTGAGAGTTGCCGTTTCAATAGTTTCGTCATCTGATTTAGTTGATTTCCAAACTCAGATATATGCTAACTACATGCCTATGGTATCCGTCTGTTAAACCAATGATCGTTGAATGCAACAATTCATCATGCATTAACATAAGCTACTCTAAACTATTATTAATTGCAGAAATTGATTCATCGCGTGTATTTGTTTTTAAATAAGGTAATGAACCATCTGTGTGTCATTTTTATATAGCATTATATGTGTATCATATTATACATTTTACAAGGGTGGTTGGATGGCCGAATGGTTAGCTTGTGTGCGCTGAATCATAAGGTCTGTCATTGAGTCAATTGGCGTGGTTTCGATTCCCTGGTGGTACGTGATAAGGAGTAGGGTCGCATGTCCATCCTCGTGGGTTTTCTCCTGGTCCTCCGCTTTCCTCTCACTGCTATAGACCCCTACGCGTAAGCGAAGTATTTAGATGAAATTGAACCGTATGTTGGTCCCGAAATGGCTTCAATATAAACTGTAAGAAGATAACGGTGATATTGCAGAACACAAGGTCTTGGTCAAAATCCAACTCCTATTTAGATTATTTTTTACGAGGGTTATGTAGCAGAAACTTATAAAGTCGAGCAAATTAAAGAAACATTTAGATAAAAAGCTGTTCGTATTTGCTTTAATAGTTCACAAACAGTTATTGAAGAATGAATTTATTGAAAATTTCATTCAAATTATTTTATTCTTGAGTGTTGGAAGAGGTAGCAGCGTAGATTATTTATTATTTAGTCTCGTTTATCAATTTTATCCTTAAATCTCGCGGGCGTTCTAATCCATTTAAATCTCTGTCACCCGATGTTCTAGAAGTTGATTATTTACGTGTCATGTTAATAGATAATAATTAGTTTATATAACATTTGAAGCAGTAATAAAGACCTGCAATAGGCAGGTTATCCTTGACATTATCTAGATATAAACTATTATTACGACAGCAGTTCAATAACAAGCTTCTCCTATTCATTAAAATACAATAAGCATGAGCAAAATTCTTCCTTTTGTCGAACTTTCAAACCGCAGTAGTAAAGAAAAGCAGAAGTTGTTTATACACAAATACTTTGTATCTCAGTAAAATGGCCAAGCCAAAGTAATTGAAGCCTCGATTTATATCAGAAAATTGCCCCATGTTTTTAATGTCTTTCGGTCTATTTTTATGAGATTGCATTGCTATTTCGTGGAATTAGAGGACACGGCATTCATTGGCTCCATTGACAAGTTATTTACAGAGAGACATTATCTAATATAAAATGATTTGATTCCCTGTTAAGTGGAGAACAATGTTATTAGATAAACAGTGCTAGTACACTCATCTGGTTAGTGGTTTCTTCTCAGGCTGAAAACCCATTCACAATGATTAGACGATCATTTGTTCAACAAATCAAATTATCCGATATTTTACATAAGCAGGTGTTGAATGTGAAACAGCATTTCTTTCGGAGGCACTTCGTATATCGACGATCTTACTTTTTACGGACCAGTGGATAACCCTACGTCAGTCGGATATAACTCGAGGTGCTACAAGTCTGTTGTGATCGACCAAAGTCCCTAGTTCTCACCCTTTGGTAAACCCAAAGGTAATGAACCAGTGGCCAAATCATTCATTCGAATTTCGTCGGCAATTTTATTTGGTTAAATATAAATGATTTCCAAGAATATACCTGGGTAACGGAGTACATTATTCACCCGTGCTAACACTTCTGGGTTTCATTCTATAGTTAAGTATGACCCTACTAGAACAATAAAACTCAAGCACAATCGATCCGAAACAATGATCAAATATAATCAAAAATTGAAAAGATGTACCATGGAATTAATAAAAGTGTAAACAGCATGCGAAAACCATCACTGCTGTACGGTGGACGTTTATGTGGGACACAGGGCATACGAGGCAAATACCCTTCATTTGAGAGGAAAAATCAAAATGTGCATGTTAAGGATGTGGTTCTCCACATCAGTTAAATATTTGATTTGAGGAAAATACGTGTTTTGGTCAACATATGTGCAATGTAACATAATTAGAATATGTGTTTACAAATGGAATGAAATAAATGGGGTTCCTCTTGACAGCAGCGTTACGGGCTATACCCATATTTAGATTTAAAACTGTCAGAGGACTTTTAATAGAATACATGGTTGGATCTGAACGAACAGTCGTTTTTCCTTTTGACCTGCCACCCTCTGTCCTGCAGCACTGCACTGAGATAAGGCAAGATATTTGACCGAAATCAAAGCAGGTTTCTTCCTTTCAGTCAAGCCAGAGTGGATTGTTGTTTCAATCAAAATACACTTAAAATTCATTAATTCATTCATCACTGGTGAAAAAGAATAACATGTCAAGTTTTTAAATTACAAATTCTTTAAATATTTGCAATGCACTATAAAATAAATGCAAATTGCATAAGATAAATGAATAAAAGATTTCAAGGAACATAAAAAAGAATATAAAACGATTTTCAAGAGTATTTAAATCCTCTTGGTTTATGAAATGAATAATACCAATCTCCGTTTTGATATTCTATATCATATAATTCACAATACTTAAACACGTGCTACATTCTCATCGTTAATAATTGTATTTTAACCCCTTGATGGTATTCACTAGCAATACAGTAATATATCCTAGATTTAATCAATAATTTTTGTGTCGATATTTTGACAGAAAAGTAATTTATTTCTGTGAATAAATTATATGAAAAAAAAACCGAATGAAGAATAGAGAAACAATAGACATGTTTCTTAGAAAGGACCAGATTATATTACCTGTTTCTTAGAGAGGACCAGATTATATTACCTGTAAACAAAAAATGTCACTTTTGTTTTCATAGCCAGAAATTCGATCATATTCCTACACTTTTACTATTAAGCCATATTATTTTCTTTTGTGGCTTTTGGTAAACGATTCTTTTTTTCTCATTTAGATACCCTATGGGAATGACTGGACTATCAACCTACCTTTCTTTGAATCATAAAGAGAACAAGCTTCTTAAAATTTACTATGGTGTCAGTCATTTATAGGTTCTATTGTCTGGTTTTGAAATGGTTTATATGTTATTAACCTGACCAGACTATGTATGATCTGTACTTTCCTTCATTTCCTTTCATTTTGGAATTCTCCAGTGACCAATTCCTAGGTATTTGATATATATATTATGCTTTACGCCAGTCTTTCCCCCAACCCCTTTTCACTCGTAGATCCTTTAGAACATTTTACAAAACACCGAAGATCCCTACATTTGAAATTATTCTGTTTAGTCATATTTCCCATTATCTAGGCTTTAGAACTGCGCACCACAGCTTTTTACACATACCTGTGATACACCCTAACATCTGAATGCTAAGATATGAAACAAATGCATAGAAATGTACTATTTAGAACACATCATGCATTCCCTTGTCTACACACTCACTCTTCAGTAACTTGTCATGTTTGATGTTAGGTTCTGTGTTACCGCGGGCCTTAAATCTTTATTTACAGGGGTCGGGATGTAAGAAGATAGGGGAAAAACTATTTCGGGGCCCTTTCTAGTGATTTTCCGAAAAAAAAGCCACGACAAAGCATGCAGTTATCTAGAAAAGCATTTCAAATATAGTCACGTCACAATCTGGGGGTATCATTCTTTCTCTTTATATTAATTACACGTATATTCCAATACGCTTGTGGCGATTTCTGAAAATAATCTCAGATTCCTCGTAAGCCCCATATAATGATCATTTGCATATTCCCCTTTCAGAAGTTCTGGGAAGGGGAGTGGGTAGGTGGTATAAAACTATTTGTACGTTGTGAAATTTTCTACATAAAGGATATCACAAAAATAATATATCTATTAATATATCTATTTATGCCATTAAAGAGATAATGTCTCTGAGGTTGGTGAATTTTTTTTTTTCATTTTTGTTTTTAAACAAATATCTTCACCTTTGGCTTGTTCTTCAGGCGTGTCATCCAAACTGTCGTGCATAATAAATTTTACATTATTAACGGCTTTCACACATAGAAGTCATTGGATCTAGTACGTAAATATCTATTCTCTTCGGATGTTCTTAAGACAAAAGACATGAATATTTGATTAATGTATGGTCCCTTAAACATGAAGTTACAATAACAAAACCTATGTGCTTTTCCTGAGATTAATAACGCGAACATGCGCGACTGTCTTGTATTATTTTCATTGGCTCAAAGCAACAAGTAAAGCGCCCATCTCTGTCTAAGAATCAATACTTTATAAATTTCTAATTGAGAAACTTGTTTGGTTTGGTGCCCCCAACAACAAACCCACACAGAAGCCGTTGTAATAAAAGTAACACGTTTAGTATAAACATATATGGTTACTGAGTCATTAAAGTCATTATTTGTTTTCAACATTTAGAAACGGTAGCAGACATTTTTACCAGAATACGTGATAAGCAATTAGTACTGGAATTTGCAGTTTCTAAAAGTTTGGTAAGTAACACTTTAAAACAGAGTACATTTACACAGAGCTTGAAACGCCTTACAAAGTTGTTAAACTTTAATAGCGAAGCTGTCTAGATCGTTGCATGATGTTGAACGGTATCATAATTGGAGAATACCTCATGGCGAAATGGCGAGAAGGTTTTTAATCATTTTAAACACTCGCCAGATATTTGGAAAATGGATCTTTTCAAGTAATCGAAACCGTATCACAATTGGAAGTTGAATACTGATTTTGTTTTTTCACTTTTGCACGAATTACGGAACGAAAGTTTTGTTTAAGAATGAAGGTCTGGATACACTTATTAGTTTTTAGATCTTTAATTACATTTTTTATATTTACTGTACAATCTTTATCCTGCAACACCTGGCTAAAAGTCGGTCTTAATCAGTTACAATACAACGGGATAAGGCGAATTAATATTTTCGTCCCATCTAAACGACTACACGATGTGCCACCCGAATCCGTCCGTCCCGTAACATTGACGAGGAAAAACAGACTGGGGGCTTTCTCGGTCAACACCGGGATCGAACTAGGGATCGCCTGGTTAGTCAGCCAGTGCCTTGATTAGTGTGGCTCCAGATTTTGTTGCGATGAAAGGGGTTTAATATATCACCAGCTTTTACACCAGTTGCTACTTTTTATTCGTATAGTTCCAAATGCATGTTGCCATTTATCGTAGATACATGTTGACCAATCTGAATAACAGCTCAATTGGATAACATTGCTTAAATATAAACTTAACTACACAGATCATCCAGTCGTGTTTATACACTTCCCGGTTAAAAAGACAATACATGTATATACATGTAATTGACTATACTGAACACGTCATAAAGCTTTATCAAGATGTACTGTCAGAAGTACGATAAATCAAAGAGTTTGCTTTTCCCATTTAAACAGGAGATTACAGTTATCTAGAATGGTCTTCGGTTAACATTTTGATGTTATAGACGAGGCCCATGAGGATCTTGCTGGAAAATAAGAACTTTTAACTCTGAAATATCCATTATATAAATACTCCCTGTACATCCTCGCAGGTTGCAAAGTAAAGGGCCCGTTAGTCTGGAATTAACAACTCCTCTCTAATAATAGTTTTGTCGAACACAATTATTCATCTAAAGCTTAAAGTGCACATAATATGGACGAGAAATTTTTCGGTATGTATAGCCAATGGTTACTATATCCACTTTGCGGCAAGTTCACACCAATCTGATTATAATTAATTCAGCTATCTTCACTCAAAGTCGCAAAAAGAGACCTCCCGTAAAAACGACTTTGCCAATTATTGAAAACATCAGACGCCAGTGACGTCTATATACAGCCGGCGTGTGTATTCATTAACGCCGGACTTATTCCTTAATCCCCTAATTAAATAAAACACTTGACTGCGGAATAATTTGTTTTGTGATTTATTTTAATTTATGATCCAATTTAGAATTTCTTTCATAATGACCCTCGCTCTCTTCTCACGACAGCGATTCTAAAACTGTGTTTTAAAGCGAATTTTTGATAGAGTCTCTATACCATCGTGTGCAGTCTAAACGATTCGAGATACATTTCCGTCAGAAGAGTATTGTGGTTCTAATTTCCCCGAGTAAAAGAGTACAGGAGTATAAAGATGTGATCATGTAAAATGTATCATAAAAATCAAACATGATTGAAAAACGATTTGTATATCAGAGTAGCCAACTGTATCTCGTTTTTCTGTAGCCATCGTACGGCGCCTTTCTTTCAGCACGTGGATTTACTTCATTACTCTGAAATAGACCGTAAACATGAAATACGAAAACATATCTCAATATACCTTAGAATTAACAGTACAAATAAATTTTGTTCGTAACCATCTAAATCAAATAACAGATTGAGAAGGGTCATCTAACAATCTTTGTGTATTAATAATATGTCAAGTGTAGTGATTATTTGTCATTAATCAATCCGACTAAAGTTGCACAGACATGGGGTCATAAATTAATTTACACCTCGATGTGGGATTTCGAATGCTGATTAGGTAATTATCTTTTTTTACGCAGGCCAGATCAAAGCCGAAGGTGTGCGGAATACCGCACGAACGAACGAAAAATGTTACTGGGGAACTTTTCTACAAACAATTCTACACACCACAACTAATCGTTGAATCGAACACACGATAATTGTATAGAATAATTAAATTTTAAGTTTATAATTATTTACCCTATAATCAATTAGCTTTGTTCACCGATGTTTTTGTATTATTTGTTGATGGGCGTTTAGACAACATTTAATTGACTTGATATGAAATCTGAATATAAATTATTCGATGGATAAACGTTTGTGATAAGATTAGGTTATAGTGTCTAACATCGTTTAACTTCTTTATAAAAAGGGTATTTCAAAATTACATTGACAGTTTAATCACTCACCAAACGGCATCAGGAACTCCACGTATGATCACGTGTATTTGATATTCATGTCCATGCATCCCGTGCATTTTTCGCGCCAAAATTTAATTTCAGTCACTACACCCGTAGTATGCGTGGAACCGTATATGGTAATAAGATTCCCAGCGTTGATTGGTTGAGAAAGGAGGGAGATCTATTGTTATGCTTACCCATCGGAAAATTCCATATTCGCTGTGAATTTTAAATGGAGTTACGGTAAATGTTGTTGTGAACTTGCCGTTAAATGGATATAGTAACCATTGACTATTCGTACCGAAAAGTTTTTTAAAGTTTGTGCTATCTGTTACATTCAAAACCATGCACACATTTACGGCGATTGTATAACTTTCAAAGTATTCTAAAATTTACACCGTATTTAATTTTAACAGCGGCTTCTTGTTCATTAACCTTCGTACATGTTTGATGTTGCACAGGGTAATATTTTTCTAATACAGTCTTTACCATTGTAAACTGTCTTTACAGTTTCAATATGTTTATCTTTCAAAACAAGGTTAGATACTCCTAAATTTGTCTTCGCCATATTGAATAATTAATGGACTATTTCGTGATTCCGCTATTATCAGTTTGGCAAATTTCCTACTCACAACGGCTAAATTAATCATATTTAATTTCATTCAGTATGAAAATAGAAAAGAAATAAATACTTCTAAAAATTTCTAAAAGCATACTCAGTGTTTTCGACTAAAATCGTCGATGTCGGAATTAAAATGTCGGTTAATTAGCTAAGGGCCTGTTCTCAGGCGGAGCTATATGTAGACATATATGTTGTTATGCCAAGAAATAGTTTTGGAGAAGGGAGCATTAACCCATGGAATAATATGTGTAATTTATAGAACAAGGTTCCGAAGATTATGCAAATGAATGAAAGTCTATTTAACGTTAATAAAAAAAAACCTCGTATTTATATGTCGTCTATTGGACTGACGTTTGATAAAATACGTCTATAATTGTGAAACGTCGCTTTAGTTTTTTTTTATGATAGTTGTTTAATATTTGTTCAGTTACTTGGCGTTTCATATTTGGTTACCGTGGCCCCATTCCCTGACCTTTTTGATAAACGTTTATGTGAAGTTAAATTAAGATAAAATAACTTTTTCTAACCTTTTTTGTTAAAAATGGATATGGTGATTTCTCTTTAAGTTTCCAGTTGCGATAAAGTTGCTTTGATCATTAAAGACCACTGCATGGTGGTTTAGATATATTAAACCATATTCCACCGTTGATAACTCCTATTGATACAAGACATCGGGGAGAATGTTCTGGCTTTGATGAAATGCGATTATGTTAAGAATTTTAAGGGGTGTTTCTCGCGGCTGTTTTAGCTGAATGCGAATGTCTTTTATCTTCACCGCACACTTAGTTTCTATATCCCCTTAATTAAATATAAGATATCAATTCCTTCTCATGATCAGTGCACGTCTGGTATTTACAATCAATTACAACACAGTTATAGGGAATTGTTAGAGGGCTTTGTTTTGCAACCAGTGTGATGTAAGTCGGCGCCACGCCACTGTGATCTTCTTTCACAAGATTAAATTAATGAATTTCGTAAAATGAAACGGGGTTAATCTGCTACTTTTCTGCACCAACTGGGATAATAAAACGGGCAACTGAACGACTGGTAAGTGAGCCGACGCCCTTGTGTGTTTTAATTATCTATTACACGGGGCGGGGCATATTCCCTTTGGATTGACCAAATTGGCCACCTGTTTTCTACTGGCGTTAAAAAACGATAATCACATTGCCCCCTTTTTGTTATGGTTTGGTACTATCATGATTCTGCATGTGTACGATTTTTAGATCTTCCCGGTTTCCAGCTGTAAAATAAAAGTACCATTACTACGTCTGATTAGCAGCTAAGTCGTACGGGAAGTCAACAGGGGTTGTCACATTTTTTCCCTTTGCAGCAATGAAAACATTTACAACACACTAAAAGCTGATGAAGAGTAACAACCCATTAACCAATTATCAGAAATCATTCGAATTGGTTTCGATTGTTTGTCTTGCAACCTTAAACACCGTGTGTAAATTTAAAGTCAATCGGATATTAGCTTTGGCCTCTAGAGCGTCCTAGGGAATTTTCAAAGTGATCAAGGGCCATAATTCTGGCAGTAATTACCTGAAATCATTTAAAATATATAGCCGTCTTCGTCTCATGACCTTAAACACCCAGTATTAATTTAAAGAAAAAATAGGGTTATTCGTCTCATCACAGTAAACACTGTAAACAAAGTAAAGACGAAGCAGACACGATTTGACAAGATGCCCACAAGATGGCCTTATGAAGGGCAAAATGAAAACACGAAAACGAACCTTCGCAAGGTCTTTCGGCAATTTTTAAGCATGGCATACGATGGCTTAAGATGCCCTCACGAATGTCCCGATGTTGTTACGATCAGAGCCGAATTTCGACATTTACTTTATCGCGTGTGACCATCTAGTGCCAATTTCGGGACATTGTGACTCCCGCAAAAGCATCTTTTTGAGTCAACCCTGAGTAACCATACAGAGCCATCGTGTTGCCTTCGTTTGTCCTGCGGGTATAAACT